ACAAATTATAATTATTTACAAATACAATTAGGCCCTTCATAATCGTTATCATCAAAGATCGCTAAAGTTTATTTCAATTCAACGCTATAAATATTGTCAATGCTACTCATCAGAATGATATGATGAAATCAAAAATCATTGATTAGTTTATCTATTCCAATTCATATCTTCTCAACAGCTACTTAACATCATTTTAGGTAATGTTGAAGCCGGAAATGATCATTAGAGGTAATAATCATTCCCAAACAATATGAACCTGACCTCCCTGTGACGACTGGTTGAAAGAAATGAGCATGGTCTGTACATATATATATATATATATGTGTGTGTATATTTGTATATATGTATGGAAATGAAAGAGAAGGAATGAGAAATTGTGAAGTGTTCTGTTTGGAATGAAAAGGGAAGAGATGTTGGTAGGTGAATGGGATGAAATCCTGAAGTATTTTTCCTGTCATCTGTTCCTCCTCCTCCTCCTCCTCCTCCTCCCCCTCTTCCTTCTCCTTCTTCTCCTCCTCCTCCTCTTCAGCCAGAAAAACAGCCGAGTAGCAAAAATGTGGAAGTTAATGATTAACAAGTTGCACAATTAATCAGATTAGAAGAGAGAGAAAGAGAGAGAGAGAGAGGGAAAGAATGGGTGAAATGCAAAAAGAGACAATAAAAGAAAGGCGGTTTTGTAACTTCAAAAAAGAAAAGAGATAGTAATGTAATATTGAAGACAACAAAGTCGATCTACACCAATCATTGTTTCACCATCCTTCCATATGTTATTATTAATTCTACCAGCCGATCACATCACCTCCAAACTACTATTTCATCATAAATTACCAAAACTACACAACGCCGCTATTTCTCCTACTCCGAATATCATAACAAATGAATGTGTATGAGTATGTGTGTGTGTGTGTGTGTGTGTGTGTGTGTATGTGTGTGTGTGTGTGTGTGTGTGTGTATGTGTGTGTATGTGTGTGATTGCTTAGTATTTTTGAAAAAAATTTGTAGTTCAAATTTTTGAAAACGGTTGAATCAGTTAAAAATCTTTCGACCTAATAGATCATTAACATTGACAGATAAAATTGGTTAGTCAATTTGAAAAGAAAAAGATGCATTGTATTTGGAATAAGATGGAATATAAAAGAAAAGAAAGAGAAGGAAATGAAATGAATAAGAGAAAAAAAGTGAGTATGAGAGAAGAAAGGAATATTGATAGATTACTAAATAAGCAATGATTATATAATATAGTAAAATATATTTATATAAACATAAGAGATGAATGAGAGCGTATTCGTTGCTTTCTATAATTATATAAAGTAAGTAATCATAGAGAAAGAGAGAGGAAGGGAAGAAGGAAATATTTGAGAGGGGCAGCGGTTTTGGTAACAATGAATGAAAGAAGGGGACGATGAAGTAAACGTCAAATGAGTTTATATAATTTTGATAAATATTTTCCGGCTTTTTTTTGTACCTCTTAGTATCGTTTTTTAGCTGTAACATTTTAATACTTTTCTCTAAGAATTCCGAAATATTCTTTTTGAGAATTACGGTAGGAATAATTTCGAAATTTAATCAATGAAAAAGAAAGAAAGAATAATTTGAGATAGATTCCATATGTGAAAGTCATATTTTATCCTTTTTATTTCCATCTGTAGGAAGTTGAAGCTTTTTTTCTTTTTCGTTTCATTTTTATGTTGTTAAATTGTGAAATGTTCCTTCTCATCATTTCATATTGTTTGATTGAAATTGTAATGGAACAGTAAGAATGGCCGTCTATTATTTTTGGAATGTAATCGCAGCGGAAAAATGATTCTTAGTAATAAATACTTTCATCATTTTTAGATATATTTATAAAAAAAGCCTTAAAATGATGATTAAAGAATATTTAGATAATTAACAGTAGTAATAATAGGACGAGGAGAAGTCTTAGTAACATTCTTTAAAGCCTATTATTACTACTTCTTACTCTCCTTAAAGTACCATGGTAAAGAGTAAACAAGAAGAATAGAATTGAATCTGAACAACAATTTAGGAAATAAGATCGAATGATATTTCTTTTTAGCTGTAACAAAATTTTTATCATTTTTACAAATAGATTAATCAGCAATCATTGTTTGTTCATACTCATTTTAGGGATCGATTAACCCCTATCGACGATAAGTAATCAAGCATGCAACTTATTAATTAGGTAATTTACCTATTATTCCGGTAATATTACAATCGGAATGGAAGATTTTCTTTATTAAACTGTGATTTTTTTTCATCGCCATAAAACATGCAAACAAAAGGAGCAAAGATCAAAAAGAAAATCAGTAAAGCAAAAACGAACAAACGATTAACGAAAGATAATTGATTCGGGAATGGAACAGAATAGAAATATTTTAAAACGAAATAAGTGTAATAATGCTTTAGCAAATTTTCATTTGATTTTTCCATTCTGAATAATCTTCCTCTTCTCCTATCATTCCTTAATATCAGTAATCATTTAGAAATTTCAGTTTTCTGGAATTTATTTCTTCCCAAAAGTTTTCCATGGATTTCAAATAAAAATTGATTTTTTTTAAATAAGTTAGGCTTTTAGCTATCTAATTTGTTATACAAAAATTACAACAGTCTTTAAAATATTCAAAAATATTTCATTATTCCGGATATGTTTCCATCTTGTTGCTTTTCCGTTCTCTTCTTTCCGTAATACGAAGAGATGGAGCACAAAAAAAAAATTATAAGCGATTAGATTTAAAAAAAAAAAGAAAAGCAATTGGATTGAACAATTTAAAGTGATCCTTTCTTTTAGCAAAATTTCATGATATGGAAGGAATTTTGTTTCGGAAAATGTCCATGCTTTCCGGATGAGATCAATAATATGTGAAAACTGTAGAAATCTTAAGAAGCAATGAAATTAAGTTGATAGTCTTATGATTTGTAAATAGGTCACCAAATAAAAGTGACCAATACTTCATTTGTTATTGGAAGAAAATTAGGAGAGCAGGAAGATTTATAAATCGGGTAAGCATATAGTGAGAATCTTGAAGGTATGAGTGAATTCTTTGACTCTAGCAATATTTATTTCGCAGGAAATCCATAATTTTCATATTGATGCTATTATTTTCTGCTGTACTTTTTTTGCAGATGATGAATGACCTGACCCCATTAGTTTCTTTATTTTAATGTTTACATCAACAAGATGAAATATTTTTTGCCATTTTTACTCTTAAGAGATTATCCTATTATTTTCAGGAAAAATTTTCCCTAAGAATTATCTCTGTGATCTCATCCAAACCATTTATATATGTAATTTCTAAAATACTCTTTTCTACTTTTCATAGTTTTTTTTTATATTAATTAGAAATGATAAAAAATTTTCAGAAAAATAATGCAATTTTTGAAAATTGATGATAACAATGATAACGACAACAATGATGATAATAATGATAGTGATAGTTATAGTGATTTATGTAGTAAGATTTAACATTAGCTGTAACATTTGTGAAGCATAGAAAGAAAGGAAAATGAAACCGAAAGAAAGGAAGATGAGTTTAAAAAATTGTAAATTGAACAATTTGAAAAAATTAGAAAAGAATGATAAACAAAATTGAAGGCTTACAATTGTTGTTGAGGAATGATTAATTCTATTTATAATTGGCAGGTATTGAAATTTACACATTTATGGATGAATGGATAAGCAACTGCTAAATGATCTTAGAAAAGAAATGATATTGTTAAAGGATTAATTAACATTATCAGTTGATGGATTAATTAATATTATCAGTGATTATCAATGACTCTTTAGCTAACATTTATAGCTTTTCATTACAAAATTTATTTTCTCATTTAATTTAAATTAAAAATTTCATTTATAATGATAAGGTTTTCTTTTTGTTGTCTTTCATAAATAATAGCTAAAATTAATTTTTTTATTGACAGTAAGGGAAGAAAATATTTTAAAAATGTTCAAATTTAAATTATTCATGAAATGAGCCAGCCTATCAAACTGTAAATAATTCATTCATAAATGTAACAGACAAATTTCTGATTATAGTTATAAATATTGATAACAAATGTAATACAAGTGAACGTATCATTATTTCAGTAAATATTTGAATTTGAAATTTTCCAAATATTTTCACCTTGCGGGTTGCCATGTTTCAGGAAGATAAAAGCAGTTAGAAAAAATTTTAAGAAACAAAAGACTTACTAAGATTTCTTTAAATATTTTAATTTCTATATTTGAAACCTCGCTATTATATCATTTGAATTTGAAAAAAACATCCAAGTACCTATAATTAAAGTAAAATTAAAAACTTTTATTTTGCTACCTCAAACAGGTGAACTAAAAGAGATGAGCTTGTGTGAAATTTTTTTTAAGTAATTGAAAATTGTTGTAACCAAATTGATTTCTTAACTTCTTATCAATGGTATGTTAACGAAGGCTACTAATTTTTTATATTATTTTATATACTAATAATCACTATAATATATTCCTGAGTTTTGGAAAGTTATTCTCTGAGAGATATCGGATAGCTGGCAGAGAAAGAAGGAAGACTACCAATAGTTATTATAATATATATTCATGAATTTTAGAAAATTATTCTCTAAGAGATATCGGATAGCTGGCAGAGAAAGATAAAGATATTAAAAATATCAAAACCCATAAAAATTACACATAAATTTGTGATAAAAATTTTTTTCAATCTTTTTGCAAAAAGTCAATTCGAGAAAATTATTTTACATATAATTAATATATTTATTATATAATTTCTATAATTCCTTTTTTTTGAAAAGTAACACAAAATTTAATGAATGGTTTTTCATATGTAACAACAAAAAGGAACGCAAAAATTTGAAATATTTGTTGATAATATTTAGAAATTTGTTGACAGCTATTTTCTTTACTTAAATTTATTCAATGAGTGTATTTAAGTTAATTATTTAATTACAAATGGATTAATTAATGTATTAAAAGAATGAAACTGTAAACAATTTGATGAAATTTTTCTTCTTTTTATTCAATAATTAATATTTTTTATCACAAAATAAAGTGTTAAAATACAGACAATAAATAATTTATATCCTTTACAATGTGTTTGTTCACTATGAAGATAAATTGAATTCATTAAGTTTAATTTACGCCTTGAAAAATCAATGTTACAAGATGTTGGCAGAACGGACCATTTAATCATTAACATATCATATATCGCATTTCGACTGATCCAAAATAATCGATCGATGAACTGAAATTAATTCAAATGATATTTAAAAGCAATATATGAAATATGAAATTTTTACTCAATTAACAATTATAAAATTATCAAGGTGAAAATAAATTTTTTGGATTGAAAACTTTGAAGTGCTATTATTTATTAATGAAATATTTAAAAAAAAAATTATCAATTAATGCTCATTAATTGAACGGTCATTAATTAATATCATAGGCTTATCATTTTTGTTTTCTTTGACCAATAAAAGCAGAAGGTTAATTAATAATTTTATTTAAAAAGAAAGAAAATGTATTTCTGGTCATTTTATAAGATTAATAAACATTTTTCTAAAATATGAATATTATAAACTATAAAATTATTAATTTCCATTTGCAACAAATATTGGCAAAATAATTTATAATAGAAGGAAAGCTTACACTTTCGCTGCTTTTTCCACAAAGATAGCCATAACTGCGAACGCTACAATTAGCGAATTTATCCAAACTTCTGAAGTTAAGACTTAATTTGATAATTTAATGAAAAACAATTTTTTTGAATTGCAAAATTATTTTTTTATAATTTCAAAAAATTTTCATTTTAATCAATCATTTCTTTTAATGTTGAAATTAAAGAATTAAATTCATTTTAATTGATGTTGAAAATTTGCATAATTGCGATAATTATACATTTGAAATGCAATTAAAAAAAAATCAATTAACTAACAAGCATGCTTTCTGAAGGGCTGTTGGTGACTCATTTATTGCTAAAAATTTAATACGTTCACGAAGTTCGTGACTTTGTTTGCTGCAATTTGATGTCAAATTGTCAATATTCAATCGCCAACATGGAAATTGTCCTTGAAGCACTGAAATTTATTTATTTACTTATTTACTCGTTTATTTATTTATTTATTTATTTATTAAAATATTTCTTATAAACAATGAAAAAAATGAACTATTAGGTACCAAAAAAAAAAAAATTGATAGTTGATAAAATTCAATAAAATAAAATATTTTAATTTAGAATTTAAACTTTTCAAATTATATGAAATATATGAGAGATGGAAAAAATAATCTACAGTACCATGTAGATTAAAGCATATCTCTCGCCATGGTAATAATCCTAATTCCAAAATTTTTCGTTCATTTGTTTTATCACAGCCAGAAAGACATTTATTTAACAAATCATTGCTCCTAAAAACATTTTTGCTTTTTTTAAGGAATTTATTCAGTAATTAAAAAGTTTAAAAACAAAAGCAATTGTTTTAAATTAAAATAAAAAATTTTTCATTTAATAAAAAATATTATCAAAAAAATGGTTAAAAGAGAAAGAGAAAGTCCCTTAAATTGCCAAAGTAATTCTTTTTGTTATTTCTTTATCAAAAAAACTTTTCCATTCAAAATTACCACTAATAGCGCAATTTACGCCAGAACACCACTCATCGAAGTATTAGAAGCAATCATATTGCGATAAGATACCGTTAATTATCGCTAATCCTTACGATTCTTATGAATGCTAATCTGATTTTATGTAAAGGATTGAATGATGCCATAAGTACTTCATTTTTATCGCAATCATCAAAGATACTATCCGATCGATCATAAATCATAACATCACTTGTTATCATTGATGTAATGGATGAAATTTATATTACACTCAATACAGCAAGTATGTCACTCATTAAATGAGCATAAAAATGTAAACTTTTTTTAAAAAAATTTTTTTAAAATTAAAAAGTTTAAAAAAAAGCAATTATTAATTGGCAATTGTTTCATTGTTATTAATTAAAAATTGAAAATATGTTTTTCGAAATTTTTATTTGGAAATTATGAAATTTTAAATGAAATTGATAAAATACAATTGGAGTCTTTGCAACTATTTTATCAAAAAAGAAACGAATTAAATTTAAATTAATTAAAAAATTATTGTTTCGAAAAAAGAGAATACTTCAATTAACAATTTCATTTTTACTAACTGAAAATTGAAAATATTCTCTGATAAGATTTATTTGAAAAATATCAAATTTAAATCTTAGATAAATAAATATAGCATTAATCGATGCTGTCAATAATTAATCGAGGCTGTCAATAATTGCTTTCTTAAAAATTATTACTAAATAAGGCAAAATTAAAATTCTTAATTTTTCTATTCATTTAAAAGAATAAAAAAACTTTTACAACTAAAGAATTTATAATATAAATTAATTTTAAATAAATATTTTAGATTTTATTAAAACAAAAAATATTAATAAAATAAAATTTGATAAATTTTTCATTATCATTTTTGAAATCGAAATTGACTTATTCTTCTTCTCTCTCTCTCTTTCTCTCTCTCTCTCTCTCACTCATTTTTCCCTCTTAGCAGCTTTTAGCTCTTCGAAGAATATATATATATATATCTATGATTAAATTTTGTAATTTTATTTTGATAAAAGTATATTATTACCTCAGGGAATATATATATACACACACACACATATATATATATATATGAGTGCTACTTTTTCTCATTTATTTCAATGTCAACAAACATTGAAATTTAATTTAGAATTGTAAGTAAAATAACTTTGATAAATAAATTTACTTTTTGCATTTTAGGATAGATGAAAATAAGTGATAAATAAATTTAATCCCTATGTGATAATAAAATACGCATGGCGCCTAATTTTCGAAGAGAAGTTGATATTCTCATGGATAAGAAAAATAGGTAAAAGATAAAAGAATTCTTATTTCATAATTATTAATCCAAAAGAAGAAAGCGACAAGTTATAATTACAACAATTATAATTATTGAAATTGCTGTGGGATTGCGAAAGGTACGGTATCATTTTAATAAAGGTTATTTACAGAATTGAACAAAAGATAAGCAATAAATATATATTAGTTAATAATTTCAATTAAAATTCTTATTCAAAATTACTGTTGTTTTTTTTTAATTTTAAAACAATGGTATGTTTGTTTTCAAATTTCTCAAAAAGAATTTGATATACAACAAAAATGCGTATACTTGTAATTAAACTTTCCATTATAAAATTTTATTAAATTAAATTATATTTGCTACCTGCAAATTTCAATCGCTCGATTGTGTGCAACCGTTTCGTTACCGGTAGCTTTCAGAAGAGATAATAACGGAAATGCGAAATTCAACGACCATTCATTTTCCATCTTAAAAAACAAAAGAAAAAGAAAGAATACCTAACGATGAGTTAAACGATAGAATACCTAACGATTTAACGATTAGTTAAATTAAATATATTAAGATTATAATTTTAATATACTAATGTATGATAAATTGTAATTTAAATATTTATTTCAAATTATTAAAGACAGCTGTAAATTTCAAAGCTGAAAAATTAAAGGTTATTTTTACTAATTGTTTATTTTGTAATTTAATCGTCCATTCGATATTAGACTTTTTTTAATCAGATTACTTTAATAATTAAAAATAAGAAATGTGAATGATACCTGTTGCATGTGAGCATCTTTACATTTCAGCACACAATGAGGTACACGCCATGCAGCAATATGATTTGATAAAAGCAGTATAAAAGTTATTATCAATTCAAATATCATTTCAGGTTCAAATCTTTTACCTTTCTTTATTTTTAATAAATTTTAAGCAGTAATTTGAATAATTGATAATTTAGTATAACCTGAAATAATAGCTATTATAGGTGAAGTCGTTCTTTTGATGAACAAACATTAATACATATACTGATTACGATGCGACGATGATAATGATAATAATGATGTAGCAGTACTGATAATAATGATAGTTAACAAAAAAGAAATCAATATGAGAAATAGTTTACTTTCACTAAATTCTACTTTTTATCATGTATTAAATCTTAAAGAAGGATGCTAATTGTAAAAATATTCTAATGGAAAAAACATATGATAGATTTAAAAATGATATATTAGTAATGATAATGATAATTATAATGATAATAATGATAATAATTATAGATAACAATTAATTGAACAAGTTAATAACTAATATCTTGTAATATATTTTCATATGTTTAATTTAGAAATTCCTTTATTATTTCAAATTCGTTCACTAACGTTTCTCATGGGAAATTGAAATGTGGCAGTTAATTTTTGAGCAAATTCTAAAAATCAATATATAAATATATAAATATAACATTTGGGATATCTTTTTAAATGTAATTCATTTCAGTTATGATAAAAAAATTACACTAACTTTGAAATATTTTCAAAAGAAATTTTAAGAATTCTTTTAGATTGCAATATCCGAGACTGTCATAAAGTAACTTTCCAAAGGTTTCAAATTTTTCGGATTTTTAGGTTCCACGAATCGGAAAATTTCCGGAACATTTCAAATGCAACTATCAGTACTTTTATTGGTTTTCATATGCGTTTTTTTCAAATGCAGAATTTACTGAATTATTAAATATTAAAAAACCGGTTTATAACAGCTTTAATATTCTGATTTAAAGATTACATTATTTTTAGATCTAAGAAATTTTGTCAAATTTTGAATTTTTCAGAAATTTATATTCAATACTGATAACTAAACAAAGAATGCTTCCATTATCATCATACTATTAGTAATTATAATCAAACTATTTGATGAATTTTATCTGATGCTTAATTAAAGATGGATGGATGAATAGTGCTTGATATTAGCCATAGCATAAGTATAGCTGGTATTAGCTTATTTTTAAACTAAAATATATTTCAAATATCATTCAACATTTTCAATTCTTTTAAATATAATTAAAAGAGAAACAAAAAATAAACAAACAAAGTAATACATTTAATAAACAAATAAAGATGAATAATTATATAAAGACTATATAGAATGAGATAATTTTGTAAGTTAACAAGCAAATAATAAATAAACCTAACTGTCAAATAAAATTTTAAATTCTGAAAAAAAATCCTACAAAATTTATGGAATATTATTTATATTATTGATATTAAATGCATGAATATAGTAGGCGTGTATAAAAGGATGAATATTTTATTTAAGCTTAGGAAGAAGAGATAAGTAAATATTAGAAGGGCCTAAGTGTCACTGTAGTAATAAGAAAGCTAAAAGAGCCCGCCTTTGAAAATGATATGCATTTTTATTTAATCCTATCGGATCTGAATGAAATTACTCCTAAAAAAATTTACCATTTTAATGAGTTATAGTTTTTCTTTCTTCAAACAGTATTATTATTACTATTATTATTGTTAATATTATTATTATTATTATTATTAGCATTATTATTATTATTATTATTATTATTATTATTATTATTATTCTACAAAATTAACAGTTTGGAAGTAACGACAAGGAAATTTATGGAGAAACTTTAGTTGACTGATAACATTAAACAGCATTTGATAAA